TTTTTTTTTTTTTGTTTTGAGCTTTTTTCCTTTTTGTTTTGTTTTTAGCGTGTGTGTGTTTGTTTCTTAATCCTTTTTTTTTCCTCTGTCTCTTTCTTTCTTTTTCTCCTTTGACTTAGCTGCTGCTTCACTTGAGCTCCTAATAACAGATCTGCTGCCTTCCTGGAGACTCCTAATAGCAGATATTCATGACTATTAATATTACACGAACACTTAATAAGGGAAGAATGGCTGGAAATCGAGCGTGAAGCGAGAAGGCAACTCAAGGCAGAGCCCGTTCTAAATGACGTCCATTGAATGAAGAATCAGTGTATCTAATCAGAGATGGGGGAGAGGGAGAGGGAGAGAGAGACAAAAAGGGAGAGAGAGGGAGCGGGAGAGAGAGAGGGGGCACATGCTGCTGCGTCTGACGAATCACAGGAAAGGGGCAACATTTTAAAAGGTTGCAGGGCATGCAAAAGTGAAAGAGAAAGAGATCCGGAGAGAGGGAGAGGGTGGGAGCCAGGAGGGGGGTGCGGAAGGGGGGGGGGGAGAGTGGGAGAGACGGGCAGAATGAGAGAGGGGAGGGGGCGCGGGATCCCCCCTTCCTTCCTCACCTTCCCTTCGCTTCGCTTCCCTTCCCCTCCCTTCCCCCCCGGCTGCCGCCTCCCCACGTCCCCAGCCCCGCGGTCCTTCGCGGGCGCACCTCGGGCTGCGGCTGCTGCGCGTAGCCGGCCTCAAAGCCCAGGGAGAAGAGCGGCTGCTGGCTTCCCGCTTGGCTCTTGCCGCTCTCGGCCGCACCGCCGCCGCCTTTGCGCGGGGTGGGCTCCGCGGGACCGCCCGTCGCCACCGCCCCGTCCATGCCTCGACGGCGCCCCGCCGAGGGGCTCCCCTCGCCGCTGCCCCCGCGGCGGCCGCCCCGCGCCGCCGAGCCGGCTCGCCTCCGTGCCCCGCGTCCCGGAAACCGGCTGGGAAAGTTTTTTTGGGTGTCTCCCCCTCTGGGTGTCAGCCCTCCTCCTCCTCCTCCTCCTCCTCCTCCGGTTCGAGCCCAACGCCGAGGCCGGTGGGCACCCGGGACAGGGGGGCTGGGGAGCCCAAGGAGCATCCGCCGGGCTCCCCGCGGCCCCCCTCTCGGAGGATCCGGGAAAAGACGGGGGAAAAAGGCAGGAGGCTGTAAGGCGGGGAGGGAAGGAGGGCGGGAGGCACGCGGGGGGAAGAGGGAGCCGGGAAAAGAGGCAAGGCGAGCGCTTCTCCCGGCCCAGACAAGCCGGGGCTCCGGCGCAACCCGTCGGACTGGCTGTGCAACTCCCAAACAACTCCCTTAAACAGGCACCGCTCCGCTCGCCGCCGCCGCTGCCCCGCCGCAGCCGCCGCTCCGCCGACGCCCGGCCCCACGCTCCGCCCGCCCGCCCCGGCCCCCCGGCGCTCCGGCCGCCCCGGGCGCTGAGCGCGACTGGCCGGGCTTTCATGCCTCTTTTCTGGTTTTATTTGACTTGTTTGGTTTGTTTTGGTTTGTTTTTATATTTCTTCCTTTTTTTTTTTTTTTTTTTTTTTTTTTTTTTTTAAGGCAGGTCCTACTCCCGGCACGGTACAGCAGCCACCCTCTATTTCATCCTCTCTAGAAGTCTCATCGCACTCTCTCCAGAGGAAAACACACGGAGTGCCAACCCCACACGTTCGCACAAAAGCCAGGGGGCTCGGCGGAGCGGCCGCTGCTCCCTCCGTGTTTGGCAACACCTCGGTGCGAAGTCCCAATAATGCAAGGCGACAAAAGCCATTTGCGATGAAATCCACACGCTCGCACGTGTGCACGCTGGAACACCGCTCCTGAGGGTAGGGAGGGGGAAGAGACACGCTTTCCACCCGAAATGCAGCTGAGGAACATATATGTTTGTTTTCCGGGTTGAAAGAAAAAAAACACCAACAAACAAACAAAAAACCACAAACCCCAACACCCCTGACATCCATCTCATTCCTAGAAATCAAGCACTCGCCAGCGAGTGGATCTAAAAGCTCCTGCACCGGGAGACAGCTTCATCCCAAACTCCTCGATCGGGGACTAGATCACCAAAACACTTGGTCTGCGCTGAGCCTGGCGAATCCTCGGTTCCTTTCCTAAGCTACAGCATCGCCCAAAACAGCAGCAGGGTCGGACGGGAGAGTGCCCCCTCCTACCACCCAGAGGTGCATGTCGGCAAGGCTCCGCTGAAGCTTTGAGGATCTTCCCGCGTGGGTCATGAGCAAATAACAGCTTTCTTTTGCAAAGTAGAGTCCTTTATTGCTTGGTTTGAACACACTGCACAGTCAACTTTTTCGAAATGGGTGACAATAGTATTCGTTGGTTTAAGAGTAGGCATGGGTCCTGGGCATCGTTCTTCTTTTTCCTCTTCTTCTCCTTTATGTCAGATTAAAAGACATTCTCCTCTTTCTAAAAATATGGATGCACACACAGACACAGAGAGAGATGTGCGCATACAATCTGTGCTGAACGGCTCCAAAACCAAATGAGGTGATTTTTTTTTTTTCCCAAGCGGTTAAAAGATTATTTCTCAAACCCCTGGGAATGTGACCCTAAAAATTAGGAGGCTGAGGGAATACCACTTCCAAACCCATGATTTCAGCTCGGCAGCTGACCCCTGCAAATTTGTGCAGCTCGGTATAATCAACCCGCAGCTACATTAAAAAGACTGAATTTAAGCGTCGACCCTGAGCCAATTTATTAGGATGCCTCGGGTACCTAGAGTGTAAGAATAATTCTCTTCCCTTTGTCTCTTTGCCCTTTCATTCATTCATCCATCCATTCATTCAGCCAGCCACCTATCCATCCATCCATCTATCCATCCATCCATCTATCCATCCATCCATATGGATGAGTGTAGCATCCTACAAGAGCCTTATCTACACGGAATCTACCTATAGACCAGGCTGCTGCTGGATCCCGTTTGCCTTTCCTCATACACTTCCGACAAAGCCGGGTTTCCACAAGCCCCGAAGTTCCTGGGGAAGGACCCCAGCCCCTCTCCGGCTGCAGGACCGCAAGGAAGCCTGACGACGGAGTAGAAGTTTTCCTAAACGAAATTGAGAGACGGAGGGATGCTGAAGGCTCCCGCTCGCAGCTGCGGGGCCTGGGCTCTGCCCGGGCCCGGGGGAAGCGCTTACCTCACATTCCTCATACTTGATATTATCCGTCAGTTTCCAAAGCATTTTCATGGATTGGCGTGAGAGAGAGGATTTGGTTCTCCCTGCCTTGCCTCTCCCTACGGTGGCGGTGCCGGGCGGCGTGGGGAGCGCGGCTGGCGGAGGCTCGGCAGCGCTCCCGTCCGCGCTCGGAGATCTCCCTCTAATGGTGGAAAGTTTTTCCTTTTCCAGCTCTTTACCCACAGTCTAATCGCCTCATTAGCATATCAACAACAGCCCAATTGCTCGCCAGCACAACAACCTGCAGCGATGGACACAGGTAGAAAGGACCCATGAGCAAGAAAAAAAAATAATAAATTAACGGGGAAAAAAAAAAAAGCTTTCTCCGACCTGCCGAGCCAAGATGAGGGGGGGCAGTGGGCCGTGTCTGCCTGCCTGCGGGCCGCCGCTGCCCCCGTGCCTCTAACTGCCAGCAGGGAAGTGGCCAGCGAAATCGAAGAGGCGACCGTCCCTTCATCTGCAGAGTTTAGGATTAGCCATGAAGCCACCCCATGGGATTTACCTCTCCCTCTTTTTTTTATTTTTTTTTCATGGGGGTTAAAGAAACCAAAGCAAGAGGGAACGAGACTCGAGTCTTGCTCGAGCAACGTTATTGTCTGCGGAGGCTTCTATTGCCCTCTAGATTTGATTTGATCTTTTTTGGTGGACATTTGAAAAGCTTCTTTCCTTCTCAAATTACTTTTTTTTCTTCTCGGCTCTGTTGGCTAGAGGTCTTCAAAAAAAAAAAAAACACCACCCCAAATAAATCCAACGTAACCTCCCAGATAGAAGTGGGCGAGCGGTAAAGTGAATGAAGCAGGAGACAAAAAGTCTTTTGCAAGCACTTGAGCAAAGGGACAAAAAATGACCACAATAAAACTTTGGCATTTTCTTAGGTGGAGCACTTCGTTTGCTTAACAATGTGCCGCTAAGTGGGCGCTCAGTCCACCCTCCTGGGGGGTTGCTTCTCCACCCTTCTTTTTTATTTCCCTGGGTGCCTAGCCTTGATCCATCCATCGAAAGGCTTCGTTTTATTTCGTTGTGTTTTTTTTTTTTTTTTTTCCCTTTTCCCCTCTGGGTGATTCCGCACTTCTCCGAAGGGCGAGGCATTCCCCTCTCCGTGGGGCTGGCGTGTCGGGCCTGGCACAGCACCCCGCGCCAGCCGTGCCTCCAGGCGTCCCCAGGAGCCGGGCATCCCCATGGCTGCCCGTGCACCTGGCTGCCCTGCTGCTTCCCGAAACTTCTTTTGCCAAAGGCAAAACCTGCCCTTTCGGCCTGGAAGACCCTGCCAGGGCCAGCGCCCGACATCGGAGGAGCAAACGGCCCCTGCACTCGGCAGGGTAGCCACAGTGGGCCCTCGGGGGTCCCCAGAGCCCCCCACACGTCCCCACAGCGGGAAGGGTGGCAAAGCCTCATGGCTCCCGGGACTGCTTCTTCACACTCACACATATCTCTGTCCCCAAAAAGGATTTTTTTTTCCTTCCCCTTCCCTCCTCCTACACCATACCCCCACCCCCGATGCTCTTTTTCAGGAGCGCTTTTGTCTGACACTGGCAGGAGAGTAAATTGTTGTTTTTACTCCCATTGAGGTTCAAACAGAGCTGGCAGATTAAGCCTAGTTAATGCCCGAGGGGGGGTGTGTGGGGGGGGGGAGAGATGAGAAAAAGAGGAGGAGAGGAGTGTGACGAAGGGGCCCATCACCCCTTAGCGCCGTCCTGTTGGAACCAGGCCGGTTGGGAAAGCCTCCCACCCGGAAAAAACTCCCACCCGAGGCCGCCCGTGACTCCCGTGGGCCAAAGGCCTGATCCTTATGCTTCCTCTCCCTAGGCTCGGGCCGGTGGAGTGCAGGCTTATGAGGGGAGGGGGCGTCTTTCCCCGAGAGACGCACACGGGGCAGCTGGAGACGGGTCCGCGCGGCCCGGCCCCTCCGGCCAGGCACGGCGAGGGGGGCCCCCCACCTCCGGGGAGAGGGAGCAAGGAGGGCCGGGATGTAAGGAAAAGTCGGGAACAGATTTCAAGGCAGATAACCCGTAAACACGATTGCACAAGAGTTGACTTCAGTAAAAGAAATAAAATCCTCTTTCGATGGCTATTTCGCACCGGTCTGGTAAAAAGATGTCACCTCTGTTAAAATAATTTAAATGATATTTTTCTTTACTGCATTTCGTCGTGTCATCCCCTACCCTTTTTTTTTTTTTTTTTTTTTTTTCCCTAGACGACTTGCTCCTACCCTGAAGAAAAAAAAAATTAAATAAGGCAGTCTGGAGAAAGACAGTCCAGTGATTTGAAAAGTTGAGGGCAGAAAAAGAAACTAGGCCCCCATCTGGAACTGGACTGGACTGTCCCGGGGAATAAATAAAAATAGAAAAAAGAAAAAATCCTTTCCTCTAAGAAAATCCCGAGTGCTTGAACAGAACGGTTGGTCTTCCCTTTTATTCACCGGCAAACCGCGGCCATCCGGACAGGCATTAGGGTGCTGCAGGCTTTTTCAAGTGTCTCTCGGTTTGGGAGCCTCCATAACTTCACACGTGCCGTCTCGCCCGTGGTGCGGGTGGGTCCCCTAGAGACCGTGAGGCCGGGCGAGGTGCCGGCGGGCCGCGTGTTCCTCGTCCGGCCTCTTTCGCTGGTGGGTTCTGCTTTTCCCTTCAGCTTATCCCCGCGAGAGTGCTTTCCACGGCACGTCTACTGCCGGGTGGGATCCGGCAGCATTATTTTACCGCGAGACGGGCTCGGGTGGGACCTCTCAGCGACGCTGCAGCCCCCGTGGCACGTCCCCTATGCGCGACGGGCCCGCACCGCGCGGCCCCGGGTCACGGCGGCGGGCGCGGGCCCTGCCCCTCGTGGGACCCCGCCACGCTCCGTGGGTAGCCCCAGGGCTCCGCTCCCGCCGCCAGCCCCGGACACAGGGTCGGCGGGCGGGCACACGCCACCCTTGGCACTGCCCCACGCTGTCGGGCAGCTCACGCTCGGGTCGTGACACTCACGGCGGCAGCGGAGCAGCCCTCGCCCCTTCTCGACCCCGGTCCATCGCTCTCTACCTGTTGCAGTCGGGCCTCACCAGTGGCCGCTGGCAGCCCCAAGCACCGAGAGCCGCAAAATGCCCAACCCCAGCGTCAGGCTTGCCCAACTCCCTGTGGGCCAGTCACCTTTCCCGCTTCAGCTTCGCTTCCCAAAATAACAATAAACGCCCCCGGGGCAGGGGGTCGCCTTACCTGCCAATCCCCCATTTTGGCAAGGATAGACATCCTGACTGCGGGCTCCGAGTCCCCAGGTCCCCGCCGGTCATGGACTGCGAAGGCAAGCCACTCGCCCGGGGCGCCTGTGGGTAAATCCTCCCCTTACCTGCGCCGGGACTCTCTTACCTGGCCATAAAGAGCTGGGTGCTCCCTGCCCGCGCCTGCGCGCTGCCTCCGCGCTGCCTGCGCGCTGCCCCTGACACCGCGCTCCCACCGCGCCCGCCCCGACCCGCCGCTCCCGGGGGACACCGCCGCCGGACCCCCGGGGGGGCTCCCGGGCGTGCCCCTGACGTCCTGCAGCCTCTGGACCCGCTTCGCTAGAGGCTTACTCCCCCAACGCCGTGCAGGGGGACCCGGGGGACGGGGGGTGGGGGTGGCGAGTGAGCCCCCCATCTTCACCTTCCGCCGGCTAGGTTACCTCGGGGGCAAGATGTCAGGGAGTGCGTGCACGTAGTAGTAGTAATAATAATAATAGTAATAATAATAACAATAATAATAACAATAATAATAATAATAACAATAATATTAATAATAGCAGTAGCACAAAAAGACAAAGCACCGCAGGGGGCTGAACTAGCCCAATTCAGTGATGGAGGCACTGCAAATAGCCCGGGGAGTCCAGAGAGAAACAAAGACACCCTCCCCCTCGGTGCAGACGGTCTTCCCAGACCCCGGTACGCGGGCCGGGAGAGGGCAGGCGGCAGCGGCCGGAGTGCTGCAGTGCCCGGTTGGCCGGGCTCTGGCCCCCCGGGCTGAGCGGGAACGGTGCGGGGTGAGGGATGATGCGGTCCCCCGAGGGATGCTGGCCTGCAATAGCCTCTGGCCCTTGGACCTCTCAGTGTCCGTACCCCTTGTCTCCGCCCATGTTTTGGTTTGGTTTGTTGGTTTTTTTTGGTTTGGTTTTTTTTTTTTCCCCTCGGGGATTTAAGTGCCGAAGTGCCCTGGAAAGTTGCCAGGGTGTAATGCAGCTCTGATTTCACACCCCGAATAAAAGAGGAAGTCCCTGCCTCATCTCCAGGGTCTGGGCACTGGGGGCTTGGGGGAAATCCAACTACAGGATTTTGGGGAGGGATGCAAACAATTTCCACTTCACAGTTGCACAGCAAGCCCTTTGCATTTCAGACACAGGTGAACGGGGCATCATGTCCCAGCCATGGGACAGTTTGAGGCTTCCTATATGTCGGGGCGCATTGTGTTGGCTTGGGTCCTGGATTGGTCCCATTCTCCATTAGAAGGAAGGGGAACGCATCCCTTTGCCTTGCCTGTGGACAAGGACCTCACAGAAGGGAGTTCCAGCCCTGTCCCCAGGCAGGTGGGAAGCGGAAAGCGAGAGCCTCAACCCGCAGCCATTCGGCCCCGGGGGAATGCCGAGGCCGCGGGCATTGAACTCTCGGCTCCGAGGGTGCTCAACTTCACATCCACCGCCCCAGCGATAGGGGGTCGGCGGGGATCGGCGGCTCCTGCGCGGCGGCGGGGCGGGGCCCGGTCAATGGGCCGTGCGAGACGCGCTTCGCACCGCCGCTCCCAGGGCCGGCCAGCGCTGTACAGTTAGGGTCAAATTACAGCAATTAACCGGGCACCGGCATTTAATTACCCAGCCCTGCCCCTTCCCCACCTCCCTCGGTCCTGGGGAGGCTCCTGTTCGGGGACGACGCGGAGCAAAGAGAGCCCCGTGTAAAACGGGAGAGGGACGAGGACGATGTGCTGAGATTAAGCAGCTCTGAAACCCTGCTGCCTCTCCGTTCTCCTCTTGCCAGTCGTCCTGTCACTTCAAGTCCTCTCCAGGAGGCTGCAATTTTGGCCCCGTAACGATTATTTAAAACATTGCCTTTATTACTATTTTGTGGAAGGGGTGAGGAATTAATCCGATTATAAACTGGCTTTCAGCGAAACGTTCCCAGTACACTTGGGGGCCACGTTTCTCCCGGTAGGATCTTTCCCTTCTCTCTTACTCCACTGCTCCCCACACAGGGTTAAATCTCTCGG